GAAAATACTGATCAAAAAATAATAAATCAGGGTACCATTGTAAGCAGAATTGAACGCCAATCGAAATGGTGTACCACTTGACTCCCCTTCCCATTCAAAATTCTAAGAGTAACATCTACTCCTCCAAGGGGGTTGAACCACGAGGGGTACAAATAATCCTTGAAAGTGCCCCCCTTGACAATAAAATTGTCCCGTTTTTACGATTCCTCATATTGTTTATTGGAAGGAAGATATTAAGGGTGGAAAGTTTTCAAATTGACACCCTGTATAAATGTACATTGATACACTTAATACAATCTAATTCTATCAACTTCTCCATTATTTGTTAGATAATTCATAAACTGGAAGCATCGCAACCATCCTTTGAAAGTTCGGCAAATGTTGAAGCATATCCATGCAGTTTTCGATGTTGATTGTGAATTTGGCACTCTATTGAAATATGTTTCACTGTTGAATGGGACCGGCATACTTCGTAGATTGGTTCTTGGGTTTTTTCAATCAGGCGAGTCTGGTTAATAGGCGTAATCTATTGACTATGGAATTTTTTTTCGAGAATATTTGTTGGAGATCAGATTTGACAGTTTTAATTTATGGATGAAGTTCCCCAATATCAATTGTGAATACACTGATCCATAACTTAATGGAAATTAAAACCACTGTTTCAAATTTTATTCAAGACATGTTTCACTACACGGTAGTTTCATTACTTGAGCTGATATCAAACATCAAACTATTTTACAATGTCTATTATACAATCGAAGGTATTTATGAAAGGTAATTTGGTAAAACAGGTAGATTAAAAGGTAAGAAACAGGTAAATCATAAATATGTTATTTATAGGCATTTTATGAAAACAACTTTTTTTTGGTCGTTACACAGAAAATTTAAATGTTTGCGTTTATTGATTTCCAGAGATTGCAGCAGAATCAACTTTTGTCCTTTCTTTTCGTAATTTATGTTGAATTCGTGGTTGATTGCTAGAAGGTGGCAGGTGGGTGAAATTGTTTTTTTATCAGTTCAAAACTTCTTTCATGTTTGGAGATTCTCGTTTAGGAATTTCTTGATGTCCTTCCAATATAAACTTTTCGGCAAGATCCACATGCTAGTTTGTAGACTCCTCTTCGTTCATGTTTCCTTGTGGTGTTCCGTGCAACTGAGTTTTTATATATGTATAAGTTCATACCAAAAATTATCTATAAGTTTCTGTATGTTTCCCCTGATGCCCCATTTATGTAGTGTCTTGATAATGTCGTAATGCCCGGCCATATCATATGCTTGCGATATATCAAAGAAAACAGCTAGGTTATGTTAGGTTAGATCCAAAGTGAGTGGGTCTATTTGACCCTCCACCGCAATCCGCAAGGGTTTATTGTGGCTCACACCTATTCATACTCGACCAAATAAACCCAGCTTCTCAACGAAGCCGATTAATTTGTATGGTGAGTGGTCTTTCAGGTCAGATGATAACCTAAAAACCTGATTCGATTCAACCGTGCAGGGCTTTTTCGCCTCTGGTTTTGGTGAATCATCACTTGAGCGCAAACGTTTGTTAACCTGCTCATGGGGGGTTTGTTACTCCACCAGAGACAGATTCTGCGTACGCCGCTCAAGAATTTGGTGCAAGGCGGTTTTATAAGGTACCCCACTCTTGAGGAGACGACTCAGTCGTTTCCTGGCTGTGCCAACAAAACTTTTTTTTCAGGTCCAGTTATTGGATCAGGAGTTGGGGAGTTGAGAAGCTCTCGCTCGACATCCATTTCCTCTGTAGGCTTGCTCCTGAACTAAATTTACAGGGAGGTCAGTTGGAGTCGTAAACTCGACATCCATCTCCTCTGTAGACTCACTCCTGAATTAAATTAACAGGGAGGTCAGTTGGAGTCGCAAACTCGACATCAATTTTCTCTATAGACTCTATTTCCTCTATAGCTAGGGAAAGAAGGTAAATCACAGCAGAGCCCCACATTAACGTGACAAGGCGATGCTACGACGGTATCTCGAAGCTCCGTTGAGACAGCTGATAGGCTCAGTGTCATTCATCCTCTCGGCACGGATACACACACCTTAGGATTAAGCCATCGTTGGGATGCCATTCAGTTAGGGAATAATAGAACCACAAGTGATTCTGTAATTTCTGTATCAAGCGGGGCTACGTGGAAGCAGGCATCCGATGGTCGGTTTGCTCAACCCCCACATCCCAAGCCAATGCACTCGCTAAAAACAGTATGCACAGTGGTTCAGGCAGTGAAAGATGAACAAGGACAGCCAACCCGCCAAGAAAACAGCTAAGTTACATATCTACTAGGTTGTCAATTGTGGATATATTTTTACGAAAACCACTTTGTACTGATACAAGTATTTCATTCATTATCAGACACCAGATGTTTTTTCGAGAATTACACACATAACACATGTGAAGGAAATTAGTTGATACGACTCTGGATCAGTTTTTGCTTTCTGGAGTTGCAAAATGGGGATGACGATTGCTTCAGAAAAAAATTGTGTAAAAGTATTTATAGCCCAGATGGAGTTGTAGATTTCAAGTAGATGAAGTTTCGATTTTATTTGTAAATTCTGTATAAGAATTAAAGGTATATTGTCTGAGCCTGGACTTTTTTCCTTACTACAAATTCAGTGACGCATTAAGTGCATCCATCTTACTCCATTTCCTCCATAGTCAATTGGAATTCTCTCTTCAATATTTTTCAGAGATCTGAATTCTGTATAATTTCTATAACTTGAATGCAATTCGTAGTTTTTTGTTAATCTTCTATATCCTCATTGGATGAAATGGTTTTATCTTTGTGGTTTCATTACAGTTATTTGTCATAATTTCTTCCACATTGCATTTCATATGCACCTCTCCGGAATATTATTCATTATTCCTCACGGTTCGAAGAACTCAATCCCAAAAGTGAAACTTATATTTGCCAGGACAGGACTCCCAGCCGGATCTATGTAGGTACCTTTTTGTCCGGTTAAGATTTTAGAACGGCAAGCCGGCATGATCACAGGACCTTCAAACTCGGTACTGTGTTCAATATCATTTATGGATAATAAATAAGTCATTGATCATATCTTTTTTTTTTTCACTGATGAATGACTTAACATCTTTCATGTTTTGAGCCTTTTGTGCGCATAATTTTTGGACTGGACTCACTGACATATTGAAAGAATATCCCAGAAATATTGCAAAAACCCTCACGTAACGTGCAATGGAAAAGTTAGCCTCCATAGATCATCTAAGGATGCTTTTCAGAAAAACAAAAATAAATCGAATACTGTGATTATCCTGGTGACCAAAACTGGTTTGACAATTTCAGTCAATTCCTCTTTCAAATTAACAGTATGTCAGTCAGTTTGATCCTACTTTTTTGTACTTGAAAGTTATGGATGCCTGAAAAAGTTATTCAGTAGGAGCATAACGATATAGTGAAGAAATGCATTATTTTATGGATTTTCTGGAGTGCATTCCATATCTATTCAAATTTAGCGATGTTTTTTCCTGAAATGACGTCACAAACATGGCAGCCGTAATATTCGCCACTTCGTAACCTCTTCTATAAACAACTCTAGCCGTGTCGTATGAATTGTTTCTGAACTGTGACAGGTTCTGTGGTCTTACTCTATTGCGGTATGGCACTGAAGAGTATTTTTCTTCAAATACTGCATAGAATTGAGAGAAACAGTGTAATTCACTGAGTGTAATATTACTGCGAAACTATCAGAGATATTGTTATATCTATAGTATCTATGGAGTGTATATAACTTCAGCTCCAGTAAAAATGAAAAACAGCATAGAACACAAGATTCAATCAGTAAATTATTGAAATAAGTTTCTGAACCAATAACAATTCAATTTTGAATCTCCATATAAATAAGTTCCACGATATAGAATTATTGACCAACACATTCCGAAAACATCTGTTTAGTATTTACTCCAAAAATAATTTGATTTTATCGTTCTGATGTTAATGTTTTTTATCAAAAGTGTAAACTTTCACAACCAGAGTGTAATGTCAACGCTATTTTCCGGGTTTGTTGACCCTGAACTGCAAAATTTTATGTCTGACGTTTTGTCCACAACTGCGGTTAGACATTATCAAAGGTAATGAGACAACAAACGCAGTGCTCTAGTTCTGCTCACCGCAAATTTACTATCATCTAGTAGTACAACTAGAGCACTCCGTCCATTGACTCATCGCCTTTTATAAAATATGTCACAGTTGAAGAAGAAACGTAAGGGATGAACGTTTTCAGACTACGGCCAATAAATTAGGTAATAACTTTGACGTAATTTTTCAACTCTGTTATTAGTTATTTAATTATGTCATAAATTGTATTTGCTTTTATTTTCATCTGCTCTTTCAGTGAGTTGATAGATACAATTCAATGATGAATATAATGAATAAAAATATATGAAGTTAGTATAATTCAAAAAAGGAAAATAAGATATAGGTAAAATGTATATCGGTAAATGAAAATGTCTAGAAATGGATAACGAGTTTCTAACTGATAACAATAACAGATGTATCATTGACGATTTGATTTGATAAATAATTTATTTTCGAAGATAATAAAACATGAGCTGACAAACTTTTTGAACAACAACTAACAACAAAATGTGTTCATGCATCAACTAACAATACAATATGTATAACAATAAATGACCTGGCTTATCTCTTGTATATCTCAGGGCCTCATTTTCAAATCAGGCGAACTCTCACATCGAAAGAAAAATTGGATGTGTCTCTGTTTTTCTCCCAAAACAGAAAGATGTGAAAATAGGAAAATTTTGTTCCAGAAGCAAGTACTGATTTTGTCATAGACAATATTGTAGCTCTAATTTGAAAAATGTACACATTTTCACCTCAATGAAGGTGTTGAAATATTTTAGTTGTAAATAAATGGTCATATCGTTAGCAAGGGTGTCTTACCCAAAGAGTACATAGTTGGTGTACTCTTTGGTCTTACCCTCTTCAGGAAAGTTTGTTGGCAACACTGATTTCTAGAAGTAACCTTATCCAATATGGTTCCTACCACAACAAAGTAGTCGGCTATTTGTTTTATAAATATGTATTGTGATTATTATGATACTACATAGAAAATGAAGTTGTCCAATAGTTATTGGCCTTAGGAAGTAGTGATATTCGATATTCCCTCATTGCGAACTTATAGGAGTGAATAACTTCGAGGCGCCATGATATGCCAAGCCCATTATCCTTTGGTGTTATTTCTTTTTTATTTATTTTTGACATATCGTATTGTTAAGAGCAATCCTCTAGGTAAATATTTACATTAGTGTAGTGTTTTAATTTTTACCAGAACATTATGACTGTCTTCCTGATATTCAATGTGGTTTTAGATGAGGAAGATAAAGATTTGAACATAACCATCGAAGTACTTAAACATGAAATACCAAACCAGTTGCCACTTGGTGAAAATATCACCATTATTTGTAAGACGAAATGGATGTCAAGTGAAATGATGTGGATGTTCAATGACAAAGATGTATCGGAACAAGAAGGGTATGACTTCATGGGATTATGTATACTTATAGTTTTTTGGTTTTTGTATGTAACCATGGCTTTCCTTCGATACAGGTATTTGTATCTGGTTCACTCTATATATTATCACTTTTACAATGATTAATATCACTAGAAAATTCTCTATATTTAGTTTAGGGAGCTCTCAATAGCAAATCATCCAAAGCAATATAAGTACCAAGATTTCATTCAATATGGCACTAATGATGCAGATACTAAAACTAGTAATGAAGAGTAATGAATCGAGAGTACTTTGTGTTGAAATCTGAAATGCTCTTTTTGCTTTCAATACCATCTGAATATGCCTGAAGAAACTATCATATAGTAGAACACATGTTGTGGTTTTGTAAACTGAAATATGCATCTAAGTTATTCTATATTACTGTTACCGATTCAAATATTCCACTATGCTATGGAAAAGAATCTAAAAAATTTGTACTTTGCTTGTAGTTCTTGATAATATGGATAAAACCGCTACCAACTATTTTTAGAATTGATAATACAACTGAGTAATGAAAAATATTCTATTGTAATATGCTTTATAATATAGTTCTCCTCTTTTGCTTAACAGAAAAAAGCAGAAAATAATAACTGAAAAGTGTCATGTAAGCAAAAACGTTTTCATTATTTGTAACAAATCAATTCAGTAAATGGATAAAAGTGATTCATGCGATTAAAAGCTAGGTGGAAGCCACCTGAACATTTGCCATTCTGTCTACTGTCTTCCTCTATTTCATCTAGTAATTTATGGAATGAGGCTATTCTCAAAACAACAAACATCAATTTATGTAAGCAGTACCATACTTGCTACTGCTTACATAAATTATACTACTAAAACTTAAGTGCTCGTTTGAAGAAGGAGTGGATCACAAAGCAATTATTCATATATTCAATCAGTGACCTTGCAGACTGAAATGAGTAAAAAGCTTCGAATCTTCAAAGTTAAGGTTACATAATATTTGTTGGAGCACCCTTTCTCCATTTCTCTGATTCAGGACTATTCAATTTAGAAATGAAAATCATTATGCCATGGGTTCCAGTTTTATATTGGAATGTTGATTCAACACAATACAAATAGTTTTTATTCAAGCCTTTTGATGGTTAGGAACCGAAGAACCCATTAGGTGTTACTAAAATCCTTGTAATTGAATTCTATAAAATGTATTATATGATTCAATAGGTTTTCAAAACTCGTGAGGAGTTTTTTAGGTTGAATTTGATATTCTACTGTATACTAACTAAGGATTTGTACCTATCATATATCTGCAGTGAAAGATTCACTACAATACACAAAATCAACCATGAGCTCCAACGGCCTCATTATTTGTACCTTGTGAAACCCTTCATTGCATTTATTTTGTGTGTTAAAATGACAACCGTATTGGAACAGTGTCCTAATAAGGTAGCGATGGAGTAAACAATATAAATATCAACTCTTGGTTTTGTCAGCATGCCGAGTTCCGACCGGCCATTTCTCAATTTGTGTACTGTACCAACATGTATTACCGTTTGAAGTGAAAATTTTTGTTGTCGGTAAATTTATAATACCTTAAGTTATATTCATTTCATTCATTCAACTTCTACAGTAGTATAAAATTCTGTGCTCTTGCTCAGCTCAGCACAGAGTCTGCAGAAATTCATTCAATTTGAGAAAAATGCTACTTCGCATTTTATGTTGTTTATCTTGTCACTTATAAGGAATAGGTTATTTTTAAATGATTGACAGACACTTCAAGTAGGAAATGAAAAATGCATAAAAAGAAGCATAATATGCAGGAATGTGCCTCCCAGATTTAATTCAATATTTGATAGGATAGATCAATAATAATATTGATCAGAATGATCAAAACTTACTGATGAGATGGCGCGGTTTTTGAAAACCTTTTATAGCTGAACGATCGATTTTCACTTGCTATCGTCCAACCCGTGTTTTAATCACAAGTTAAAAAAGACCTCATAAGTCCTTAGCTCGCACAAGGTTCAACTTCTGAGGGTTGTCGTTTGTAGAGGTACGACAGCTGGTTAACGGAAAAAAAATATTTTTACATATTTTTAACAAACAAATCTGTCAGTGTTTGAAATGCTTTTCTAAAAAACAAACCATTTGAAGAAATCAAAGCCTAGAAGTCATCTATTCACATGATTTTGCTTTTAGTTTGTTTTATTTGACAAAAACCTTCAATTATCTTTTTCAAATTTTCTTTCAGTTTCAAACTTGAAATGGAAAGCGAAAATATCAACAAAGAATCCGGAAATAAATTTGAAGTATCCATTTTGCATATTTTGAATATCGGCTTCAATCATGTTGGAAATTACAAATGTCATGCAATTATGAAAAGAAATGAAAGTGATTATGATTTAGATCTCCGTCAGATACTTCTGAATGTTACTTCACCTGCTCAAATAGTACAAATATCTAAACCAGTCTACACAAAGATGCATGAGAACGTGGAATTATTTTGTATAGTTAGTGGTTATCCCATTGAAGAAATTAAATGGCTGAAGGACAATGAACCTTTGACTGATATTGAATGGGATGTAAATACTATAAATGTTACTCATAAAAATACTTCACTCAAGCTTGAGGTAACTAAAAAAGATAATGGAACGTATACCTGTTTTGTGCACACACCAATTTCACAAGCAAATAACTCAACCGACATATTTGTACTTGACAAGCCACAAATCACTCTTGATTTTATCAAGCCTATAGGCACAAATAAAATATATTTCAATTGGACTGTAAATGACGGAAACAGCCCAAATGATTTGAAATACATAATAAAGTACAAATCCGAAGAAGACAAGGAATGGACATACTATCAAGATATGATAAATCCGAATAGTACATCGTTAGTACTCACTGTGCAAAATAACACAGGGTCTGTTGCCAAGAATGGCTCACTGTACACTGTTAGAATAATGGCAAAGAATTCCCAAGGAGATAGCATGTATTCCACCAGTAGCTTAGTCAAATTACTAGACGAGGAACCAATATTTGTACCAAGAGTCACTGTGACTGGAGTTACATCCAGCTCAATCACTATCAAGTGGACTGCACCTCCTGAAAAGTTTAAAGATCATATACACTTTTACCATCTTATTTTGAAACCATATAATACAACTGAGAAGTTTGAAGCTGTCCAACCAGCAACTAAGGACTACCTTTACATGTTTTCAGACTTGAATTCTGCCACTACATATAACTTCAAAGTGGCAGCTTGTAGTGACTACAGCAAAGAATGTGGTCCATGGTCAGATGTTGTCAATGGTACTACTATGGATGGTATAGCTGGTCCACCTTCCAACGCTTCGATTGATTGTAGATTTGACAATATCAGCCATACTAATTTTGTATTTGTTTCCTGGCAGCCTCCTAAGGACCCTCATGGGACCATCATGTCATATAGTGTAAGTAGAGTTGGTTTATGATATTGAAAAAGTCGTGTTATCATCATCTAACTTGAGAATATGACAATATAACGTACTAAGTTTGAATATTTGAAATTTATATCAGGGAATTTCATGAATCTGTCTTTCACATTAAAATAAATCACTGTGCCCATGATATACAGTTGCATTGTTCATTCAATTTCAAAGACCTCACACATGCTAATGAAAATATTAATAAAAATCTTCAATCAGTGTATGACGTATTTTGTGCACATAACCTGATCATCATTGACCCAAAAAATCACAGCTCATGTTATGTGATGTGTAAATCCTTGTCGATTCATAATAATAACAATATAATTCAATTCGTAATCCAAAATTTAGGTTTATAGTTTGATATCGAATGGAGGTTCAAAAAACATTTGGGTAGTTTATATAAGTCTTCATTAAATTGTACAAGACAACCTCACCCTAATAGACAAATATCAAAAAAATCTCAACTCAAATCTCTTTGAATCACTTGTACTTTCAAGACTAGCCTACTGCGATTGTATTTAATAATAATGATATTTCTTATTGCAATAAGATCAACAGTGGACACAGCAAAAATGAAACATTCAAGAGGTTAATTCTCATTTACCTTAAAATAGAGGTAGGTACTGATTTTGAATTGAAATATTAAAATACACTAATGTTTCATCGACAAAGTTACAGTAAAAAATTACATAAAGTTTAGTTTAAAAATATTCATGATGAACAGCGTTTGCATAATTGCAAATTTCGAAAAAAAAACTTACAAAAGATTTTCCGTTCCAGATTTAGGGTACATCTCAGAGTATTGAACATTTTTTTATGAGACTTGATCTCTCAAATATCGTATTAGTTGAGAGTTGCATTTATTGTGACACCTAAAAATTTAGTGTGAGTAGATATTGGAATAGACTTATTTTGGAGTTTTACATATAGAGGTGCCTCGTAGTTATTTGAGTTGTTAAAAATCACAAGTCCTATTTTGGTGACATTCAGTTTGAGCATATTTGTCTTTGATCATACCATTTGACGTGTCTGAAGTTTTGGTTGAGAGTTTGATATATTAGGTCCTGTGATAATGACTGATATGTCATCTACGAACTGGTATACACTACCTAGATTCAAGGCTTTGGGTAAGTCGTATACATACAGAAGACAACATGTTGGTCCAAGGATCGAGCTCCGAGGTACATCCGGTCTAATTATGATACTACTAGATATATAATTATTTTGTAAATTAATTACGCTAACAACTTGGGATCGATTTGATAAGTATGACTTAATGACTTAAATAATAGGTCTGTAGTTATTAATGTCATTCTTACAACCTTTGTTTTATTTAATATATTGACTATTTCTGAACGATCCACCGGTCTAACAAATATTTTAGTTTTACTTTATGCTATGTTATCATTTTCAGCCTTATGTTCAGTTCCAAACTGAGTGAATAATTCATTTCCACAGGATTTGTAAAATATCTCTTCATTTTTATCTCTGGAAACTAAGTCGTATGTCTGTTTTTATTTTGGGTTGTAAATTTTGTTCAAGTTTACAGAAAATCCCCTCCACTGCCAAGGACTTCTGGGTGTTTCTTAAAGTGAGATATTTTGATACCCACTTGGCTGGGCCAAAAACTGAGTTCATATATGATATTTTTGTATTCTAATGGTGCTGTTGTAACTACAAATCGTTTCAGCCAGGCAACTTCAGATGGGATTTTCTTTATTGAGATACGTTAATTTTGGGTGGTTCTTTCAGTTTAAGGTAGCCATTTATCATGTCAGTGGTATAGAACCATACTTTCCAGTCACCTTCTGAAAAATCCATTTCTCTTGTATCGTTTGTGGTGCCTAACCTGTTTTCAACATTCTTCCTTTGGTTTTGTTGTATTGTATAGTCAATTTCAATTCTTGTCTTCAGTTCTTACATATTTATTAACATTATTGAAAGGGGATTTTGCTGAATTCACATATATTTTCTTTCATAATTACTTAAGCTGCTATCATTACTTTTCGGGTCATTCTCGCCTTTAACATTTTTCACAATATTACCAACTTGGTTCGTTTCCTCGTGGTTCCAAGGACAGTCAAACAAGTGTGATAACTTAGAATCAATTTATAATTTGGCAGTGAAATGAAACATCAGTTCCTTTAGAAACTCAATTTACAATGTTTATTTTCATGAAGGTCTAGATTATTCTCTAATTGTAGTATTTCTTTTCGATTTGTTTCATTTTCACTTTTGGCTTCAGTAATTTAGCAGATCACTTTATTGCTATCGAGAATTTCTATTGTTTTTATTCTTTCACAACTTTGGATGAAGTACAGAGAAGCACTTTATGCATACAGCCACCTGACATTTCTTAGCACAGCACTTATATAACAACTCATTAATGATTTCATTGGAATTTTCACACAGGTTTTCTGACCTCTCTTGATTTTTATCAGGAGCTTCGTTGACCAAATTTCCACTCGGCACTATCTTGTCGTATTTACAGTCCCGCTTTAAAACATGTGGATGCTAAGCAACTCCATCGTATATAAAATAGTTGTTTCAGGTTCTCGTATGGCATCCGTAAGTGCAATCGTATTAGTCCCTCTTTTCAAGATTCTGGCTGGCTTTCATTGAACTATTTCAGAGAACTCCACTTGATAGTTTTCATACACAAAATTCTTCTATCAGGATTTTCCCTTATCTACGTGAAAAACTGGTTTCACTATCTCATAAATGTTCTATTCGCAACAAACATACTCTACTTATTCCCAGACATTCCATAGCAATTTATACCATTAGCTTCTACAATATGGCAAGGTTGTATAACACCATTTTAAGGAAATACAAAGAAAGTTTGCTAAAAAAACTCGAATATGAACTAAGAGGTTGGATTTAAAAGCAGCTCTTATAGCTGAAATCCGTCTGTTCATCAGTTATATGTATTTTCTATTATTTAATTGAATGTTTTATAAGAATGAAGAATAAAGAAATATTGTTATTATCATACAATGAATATTTTTTTGATATTGTTTTTCATCTATCTACTCAAGTCTTTTTCAAATTATTGTTCATGATTTTTTTATGAAGGTGACATTAGAAGGTTCTGCGTCATTTGTAAATGACCAGGGACATATAGAAAACATTACTTGGGGTCCAAAATCCACAAGCATCAAAGAAGTCACTCTAAGTACTCGTTTCTACAATGTTTCTGCTAATACCAATTACACTGTGAGAATTTCTGGAGTTACTCGACTAAGAAAAAATGGACACCCTGTCACATTGTATTGCACTATGCCTCCAACTTTACCAGATAAGCAAAAATTAGCCAGGTACCACTGGAAAAAAATGGAAGAGCAGGGAAAGTGGATGTTCAAACTATTCATGCCCAGAGTGTCGGAAAGAAATGGACCCATTTGTTGTTATCGTGTTTATTTGGTTCGCATGGAATCTCAGCAGAAACTTTCTGACCTGCCTATTCCCGAAGATTTAACGATTATGTCATACCAAGAAGCACACCGTACTCCTAGGGGTGGAGCTTATGTAGCTGAAATGTTCACCAGGTATTCAGTAGAATTTTATATATTTTGAAAATTTCTTTTGAAATGAAAATTTTCAGTTCTACTTTTCATCCAGAAGTCTTCCTTGGTGATGAGCAAGTTTATAATTCCTCAAACTCACAATGTGATGAATGTATTGGTTTGAGGCCCTATAACACTCCCAGGGAAGAAAAAATAAAAAATACCAGTTCCAATCTAGTGAATAGAATACGCAGAAATGAAATACTACCTTTACCTCCCTATGATGGAAACCTTGACATCAATAGCAATTATACTGGTTTTGTTGAAGTGATTGGTAAGAAGCAAAATCTTTATTACCCTATTGTTTAAACTATTAGCATTAGTAGCTTAATGAGATGTTTGATACTTACCTTTTATTTTCTTTCTATTCACTTTGGCCCTGCATCATTTGTTCTTCCCTCTTCTTATTCAAATATTTTCTTATTTCAGTTCATGGAAAAGCTAAACCTTATTTTATGGCCGCGTATAGTAATTATCTCGATATGATGAATCCTGGACCAGAAGTCGTGGCAGCTCCTGCTGCTGGCACTCTTAGTCTTATTGTACAAATTTTGTGCGGTTTGATTGTTGTTATTCTCATTCTACTTGGAGCATTATGTGTATTGCATCGATACACAAAGCAAGCTCATGCACAGGCAGTTGAAATGATAACATTCAGGACATCTCTGAGGTAAGCGAAAGAAATGTTTGAAAATTGTTTGAAGAAAAATACAGATGTAATTGTCCTAAAATATGAATATATGAGTAATAGAATTTGTTCCAAGATTTGAAAAAAATGTTGCTCCTGTGAAACTTTTTTAACAGTTTATGGTAGATGAAAGCTCTCAAACATTGACTTCACATAAAATTATCAAAAATCGTTTCCAAAGAGAATTAAACACTTTTTGTATAAATCCTACTAATAAAATACTCATGATAAATATAAATAGTTTACAAATAAATCAGTTTTTTCACGGCTAGATGTTTATGATTGCATGTAATTCACTGGCAGTTGGACATAATAACATGAACTCATTTACTTACAATTCAATTGCCAAATTTTCACTAATGAATAACATTTGTAAGAAGCCTGCCCAAAATAATCCCATACATAACAGAAGTCTTTCAAATATAACCAGTTACGGATCTGTCAAATCGCCTAAACAACTCTTCTAAGGCAGATTTTCCAGTTAACACTCCACAATAAAAAACAATATAATTATATCTATTCTGAATCGAAGGATGGGACATTACTTATGGATAACATTAATGTTGATTATCATGTACCTTGTAAGGACAGTGACATTACATGCATTTGTAAACACATTTGAAACAGCATTAGTATGATCATTCAGACTTTAACAGGAAAAATAATAACAAAACAGCTCTCAGTGTACATCACTTTGATTTGAGTCACACCTTTGATTTTAACTCGATAGAAATTATACAGAAGAAAAATGTTGTAGTGAAAAATCATTTCTGGAGGTGGCTCACATTATCAGCGATGATAAATGTGTAAATTCAAAGTCGGACTACCATAACTGGAACAACATATATAGAAATATTATGTTGACACACAAAACCACATTTTGATAGTGCACAAAAATGATCCTATTAGTAATTAAACTAAAAAAAACCTTAATTGGTCCGTAGTTTTCATCAAATTCATTGTTTCTAATTGTAAGTAAACCTCATATTCATGCAATTTCACATTTTTCAAATATTTTTCATAAAAATTTTCTCATTTTACTTGAACAACACTTAGAAATAGTGTTTGGGTGACTACAAATGGAAAACAAAATTGTTTACGGTTTTTCTTTTGGAAATGTATATCCAATTATAGTTTAATTATTATCTATTTTCATTGTGGTCCTGAAGATGTCGACAAACGTCGCCGAAACATTGATAATTAATTTGTAAGTGAATGAGTACATATATTTATATCCAACTGCCAGTGAATACCTTGCAGTCATAAATATTTCAAAAAGCACTTTAGAAGTAGGACTATAGGAGCAACATGTTCAAAATTAAGTGCTGGTTCATTCTAATTTTAAACCCGAATACGTATTTCACTTCGGAGCAAACTACTTTCTTATCTGCTCCTATTTTTAGGAGCCTTAGGGGTCGACAAAGGTTAGTTTCATTAAATCCGCCAGACATGTGTCCAATAAGCAAAGAAGATCTTGTTTCGGCTTACATAGAACATCACCGAGATTCAGATTATGGGTTCCAGCAAGAATTTGAACTATTACCAGATCGTTTCTCCGATAGAACGACACGGGCATCAGATGCAAGAGAAAATGTATACAAAAATAGATATCCGGACATTAAAGCCTATGACCAAACACGAGTCAAGTTATCCCAAGTAGATAGTATCGCTGGCTCTGACTACATAAATGCAAATTATGTTTTGGGTTACAAAGAAAGAAAAAAGTTCATTTGTGCTCAAGGACCAATGGATACTACTGTAAATGAATTTTGGCGAATGATTTGGGAACAACACCTAGAATTAATACTCATGCTCACTAATCTTGAAGAGTACAGTAAGACAAAATGTGCTAAGTACTGGCCTGATAAGACTGATGGAGAAAAAATATTTGGAGATATTACTGTTACTCATTTACAGGAAACACGATACTCTGATTATATTGTTAGAGATTTAAAGATTTTAAGAACCAACAACGGCAAAGAACTGGAAGAACGAAATATAACACAGTATCATTATTTAGTGTGGAAAGACTTCATGGCACCAGAACATCCCAACGGAATAATCAAATTTATAAAAAGGATTAATGAAGCTTATTCAGTAGAAAAGGGTAGCATTCTGGTTCACTGTAGTGCTGGCGTAGGTAGAACTGGTACTCTTGTAGCACTTGATTGTTTACTCCAACAGCTAAGAGAAGAGGGACATGTTTTTATTTTTAATACTATTTGTGATTTGAGGCATCAAAGGAATTTCCTGGTGCAGTCTTTGGTAAGTTGCTCTTCACATTTTTTTTTCACCTTTCGAAACATTTGGTATGCAAGCACTTCTCCAAAATCAATAAATAGTTCCACATTAACACTTTGGAGCCTATGAACATTTTGCATAGATATGCTGGACTTATAAAACAATTATGGATTTTGATGAATGACATCTATGACTTGTCACATTTTCATGATTTTGTATACCTAGAGAGTCAGAATGAAATTTAGTAATTATCTTTTGCTACACATTCTACCAAATTTTAGTTATTTGAGCATTCTTTCTAAGAGTTTTACAAATTAAAATCTGCCCAATAAAATTATTTTGAAATCAGTGTTTCACACACCTATCCCTGAAGTTTTGACATCTCTTGATCTACAACTTCATTTTACTGATAGGAGAAATGCCGAATGCAAATGATTTCGTTAATTTAGGTCCTGGGATCCCTAGGATCCTAGGAACTTACTCAGTATAAATATTTATACACATCCGTTATATTGTTGAACTGTTTTTTTTTCCACAGAAACAATATATTTTCATATATCGAGCATTAATGGAAGTTGCTCAGTATGGCGATACTGAAATAAGTGCTAGTGAACTGAAATGTATATTGGATAAATTGAAACAATGTGATAATGGCAAAACCAAATGTAAATTAGAAGAAGAATTTGAAAATATAGTCAACGCTTTTGAGGACAGGAAATCCTGCTCAGTAGCAAGTGGGGAAGAGAACAGGGAAAAAAATCGCTGCGATAACATAATACCTTATGATAGAAATAGAGTTATACTTACTCCCTTGGCAGGGAAAGAACATTCCACTTACATTAACGCTTCCTTCATAGAAGGATATGACAATAGGGAAACATTCATCATTACTCAAGATCCTCTTGAATCGACAATCAATGATTTTTGGAGGATGGTTTCAGAACAAGGAATAAGTGTTATAGTAATGTTATCTGAATTAGGTGAAGGTAAATGTCCCAGATATTGGCCAGAAGAAGAGGAAGCAAACTATGACCATATCAATGTCAGATATATCCAGGCAGAATGTTGTCCATATTATACAAGAAGAGAAATGCTGGTCAAGAGCCGTGATGGTGAGGACCAACCTGTGACACATCTACAATATCATGGGTGGCCCACAGTTGATGGCGAGGTAAATAGTTTAACCTTTTCCATGAGTTTGAAAACTGGTTTTCAATTAGTTCAAATGAAATTGATTATTGTGGATGTGAACCTCATTACTTTTGGCTTCATCAAATGAAGTACAGCCTATCCCGTTTTCTTTAATGTAATTCCTAATGATATGTTTTCTGAGTGTCCAACTATTTATATTATCATAGAGAAAATTCATAATAAACGATAGGTAGGTAGGTTCAAATAAAATGGGTTTATTCGAGTATGAACTGCACCCGCGAGGGTTTATCGTGGCTCACACCTATTCAAACTTGGCCAAACAAATTCAGCTTTTTAATGAAGTTGATAACTTTATTTGGTGATTGATCATCCAGGTCAGCTGGAAAAAGTGGGAGTCTGCTAAGCAGTGCAAACCTGATTCACTAAGTGATGGTGCATATACAGAGTATGCACTCTGTTATCAGGGCCAGAATTTCTGTATGACGAATAATACACTTTCAGGTTGACAAACCATGATACCTTTTTCTCTACTTTCGACAGGCAAGTAAACAACACAAATAAGTGGCTTGGAAAGTAGGTCTCCTGTGATACATTTCAGTGAGACCCCTCTCTGCAGGTTAGTATAAGTAACTGCACCCACCAGCCATGGGACACTCTCGTCATCCTCTCAAGTAATCTGTGTACCATCTTCTGGAGATTCTATATATTGAGATTGTTGGATCTTCAAGGTGCAAGATTTCCTATTTAAAAACAGTAGTAACCTTTCCATATGAGGGCATCTGTGAGTAAGATTTACCTGATGATACATCAGATTCAGCTATGCAGTGTACCTTTGCTTTGGATGAATAATCGTTGAACATTCGCTGACCACAGCAGTTCATTTCGTTTCATGATACAGATTCTGCTTCTATTGTACAAGAATTTGGTGTAAGGTAGATTATCTTGCTGTTGAGGTGATAAGTCACTTCCAGGCTGCACCAGCTAGCCTTCTGGTTCACTAACAGGATCAAGACAGAAAGAACTAACTGGAAAGCCCTTGTCTTGATCCAATGTTTCGGGTATGATAACTGAGGTTGTCTAGTAAATATCCATGTCATCTATAGTTCATGGTCCATATAGGCTTCACGATAGCTAGGGAAAGGATGATATCCATTCCAACAATCTTGTGCCCTATACTAGTTTGTTCAGGTCTATTGCTGGATGCACGTCATATTCATGGACATAATTTAGGTTTTCCATATATTGTTTGTCTCTTGTGATCCAGTGCCTCACATTCTTATAAAATATGATGAGCTGTCTCTCTCCCTCTCTCCCTACTCAATGTTTTTTATAGACCCACTTTCCGATATGGTTCCGTACAAAAGACTTTGATTCCCCAACAGCTGGTTCAGGATTTATTGATGATCCATATTTGGCAAGCTCCTCAGCTCTTTCGTTGCCTGCGATGCCTGAATGTCCTGCCGCCCAGTATAAACTCAATCTACTCCGCTCCGCCAGTTTCTTCAGTCCTTCACAACATTCCCAGTCGAGTCTGGATGTTTTGGGTTCGATATTACTCCACGTGCAGTCTGTCTGTCTGTAGAAAGCCCTGCATTACAGAGAGAGCGCCCTGTATCTTAAAGATTATTTTATTGAAAATGATTGGGCTCAGAGTCATACATCCTTTTGGCACAGATACTCACACCTTAGGATGAGGCTGTCATTCAGCAGGACTCTTACCTCCATGGGTGACACGCGATGCAGCGGGGGTATTTTAAGTTCGTTCAGAAAGATGGTTTTTTTTTCAATTCCCTAACAAAGATATGAAATTTCAAAATTTGTTTACTGCTGTAAAATTGCCGTTCTCATACAATCAGCAACCTTCAAAAGTTGAAACTTGTTCAAGGTAAGAATCAACGAGGTATTACCGTTTAACGTGCAATTCCAGGCTTGTTAGATAAAAATGTAAATAAGGTGTCCCTAAAAAACCACTGTTGTGTTTTAGTTGTCTAGAAACTTGTTCATTAATTTCTGTAGCAACTTCTCATGTTAATGTTCTCTGTTTCATTCAGTTCATTGATGAAGTTTGTGATAATGTAATCATGAATAGTTGACAGACAGTGTTTTCTTAAATGATTCTTTTCTTTTAGAATTCCAATAAAATATTGTATATTTACCGATTGTTTTTGTATGTTTTGAACTCCTAGGATTGGAGTTATATGTTTCTTAGAACATTTGAAAGGCCAGGCCTCAGAACCACATCGTGTAAATTTTGGCTGCAAGCCCAAAAAGTTATAATTCAGTGAATGTCTCTGCATTTGGAAGATGCCCCAAATGATGGTACAGGAATATTCTGTAGGGTGAATACTGGATTGAAACAATTCTGGATAAAGTCAGGATTGGTAAAAGAATTATGTTTCGGTAATTCTTTGAATTATAAAACTGACTGATGATTACAGTTACTTCTGATTTGTGATCCAAGTTACTTATCTTGAAGTAATCACCAACAAATTTTTATGGATTCTTGTTCTATACCAGTAATGATCATAGAATGAATAAGAAAATGAATTTTGTGTATGGTTACCTACTTGAAAGAAATTAAAAAAGCAAAATATTTTATGAGAGTATTTTCGTCGTCTCTTTTGAGGATGAAAACTGTGTGTTTGTTTTGATAATTTCATAGTTTGCCTGAACAAGGAAGTCTGAACCAACATTCATTCATTTGGAGTTTACAATATTGCTGAACATATCACATCTAATCTTGGGAAATCAATCAGTTATATCATTTCTGTATTTTCTATATTTCTCAATATTCAAAATCTCACGAAGTATAAGCATATTTATTTATATCATATTTTTATATTTTATATATATTTACATTAACATTGTCGCCTTCAAAATGATCTCCATTAGATATGTACTTGTGCCAGCGCTTATTTCATCCTCAAAACACTCAGCAATACACTTTTAATGCTAATAAAACAACGACCCTCTAAAGTTCCTTTATTTTGGAAATAGGAAAAAGTCACAGGAAGCCGTGTTATTGTATTGTTTTTGGCGAAAAATTCTCGAACAAGCAATAAAGTGTGAGCAGGTGCATGATCGTGGTGCAAACATGGATTGCTTGAAGCGTTCGTCATCTTCATTGTCTTCACGGTCATCCAGCAAACGCTTGTACCACTTGTAAACTTTTTTTTCACTCAGTAGACTTACCATAGATCTTTGTTAATATTTCACACACTTTGTTATAGTTTATTTCATATTTTACACAAAATTTGATACAAATTCTTTGATCTGTTTTAATAAACGAAAATCACCTTGTTTTCATAAACACATCGAACCTCAGCGGCTGCCACAGACAAAGTAAACGATGAATACAGCTGAAAATGTCATCATACTTCATGGGCATGTATATCATCATAAGAAAAAAAATAACAGTCGGACTTTCAAAACCCGTGAAGTTGAAAATTTCCGTTATTTTCTGAACATACCTCGTATTTTAGATGCGCAATAGTTATCCACATTGAGATAAAAATGCGAAATCATTTTTCGTGTATTGTGAATGGATTCATGAGCTTGCAATTTGCCACTTTCAATTATTTCATACCAAAAAGTTGATGAATATCAATGTCTCAATATTCTTCATATAAGACAGCAGAACAATAATCACGTGTCTTGCCAAATATTATTAAACTTCATTCAAGCTTTCTATAAAACAATCACCAACAACCCCTCCCATCCTAAAACTATCTATGAATGTTGTTACTGTATCAGGCAGAAATGAGTATTTTCAATTGTCAGATGTATATACCATGTATGGGTATTTTATTCAAATACTTTGATAAATTGAAAGATATTGAAGATATGTGAAGGAATTGGCCGATTCTTAGTGAAAATCCATAACTTATTCAAGTAACACTTTATCGTGAAATTTTTACTGGACATTATGAATACTCTTGAGAAAGCTAGCTATTGTATAGCGAAACACATATTGCGATTTTGTAAACTGTACAGTGAAAATCTCACAATACTTGAATGTTACTTGAATAACATTCAAGAGAAGATAAAACAAACTTGATTTTCAATACCTGAAATCTCTTATATTTATCAAGGGCTATTCTGTACTTGCCATTCTGAAATTTGATGAAGATGTGTAATGAGAATATTGAATAATCTTCCCTCGTCACATTATTTCAGTTATATCTATATTATTTTTTAAAGGTACCTGAAGTTACAAGAGGGCTCATTGAAGTTGTGGATCATTCTCAAACAATGTTAGTGAGTAATGGCTGTTCACCCTCCATAGTGGTTCATTGTAATTTAGGTTCAGACAGAAGTTCAATGTTTGTTGGACTTAGTATCCTTGTACAGCAACTTAGGACAGAAAGGAGAGTTGATATTTTTACTGTTACACGAAAGTTGAGGTCTCAGAGGCAGGCCTTAATCAATTCATATGTAAGTATATTCACAATATTTACATAGGTCTGAAAATTATGCAGTTCTGTTTTTTTTGCCAATTATTTCAAAAGTACTGCAGACTCAATGAACAAACTGTAATAACGTATCTGTAATAATCTTTTTTTCATGTTTTTCAGGCACAATATGAATTTCTTCATCGAGCTATTGTAAATTATGCAGAACTTCATGGTCTTTGTGAACCATGAATGTGAAAAATGTGGTGCCATACATAACTTTCATTCCAAAAAAATCCTTATTGGTCTCACTGATAATTAGGTATTTTTGTATAAGTAATTTATATATTCTAAGAGTGATGTAAATTAGTTGAAAGATATTAATTTTTAGTTTAAAACCAAAACATTTTGTTCAGAACCAAAGGACTTTATAATAAGGTTTCATTTTTAAGCAGTAAGTTCAATGTTCATTTTGAATAGATAAGAAAATGTTAAACTTTGCTCAAATTAGAGCTGCCATATTCAGCAAATACCTCTGATTCACATAACTGAATTGAATTATTTTGTTCATTCGTGAAATTGTCTAGGATTGCACATTACTGGAATCACATATTCAGATGTTTAGTGCCATAAGTAAATGAAACATTTCTTCTTGATTCAATAGTTTGTTCTGAAATAACAGTTAACAAATACTTTTTTTTCCCAAAAGTGTACTTTCATGGTTACCAGTGCATAAATAATCTCTCTCATTTCCTCAAAGTGATGTCTTGTAAAGTAAACGGAGGGTCCCATGAAAAGGGGTTTTATGTAAAATATACGGTTTTTTTAATCCCAAAGAGAAATTGGCATGTGGTTTGAAGGATATTGAAAAAATTGCTTTTTATAACAGCCTCAAAAAAGGGGTTAAACGAAAGAGTTCTTTACATTACCCGAAATGCAGAGCCATGTGTCAACACTAAAACCAGTTGTGCCATAATTTCTATTTTCAGAAAATTCACACTCATTGACAAAATGTCCGACCTTGTTCTTCAATTCAAAATAGGTTTTTCAAGGAAAAGTCAAATTTCAGTCTATCACACTCTAATTGAATCGTTATATACATACATAAACTACTCAATATTTATATTTGAAATTTCTGTTAGCTTTGACCCCTCATTTACTAATGAAGTCCTTATTCTTATTGAAATATTCCATAACCATGAATAGGTTCATTTGTAGTCAATTACTTGAGTCTACCTCAATACAATTTTCGTAAACTGAACACATCCTCATTCAGACCTTGAGCATTAAATGATTCGCTTTAGTTCAGCCATGGCTGAACATGGCAGACTCTGTTATTGGTAATTGTACTTATCTCGTGACGTCACACTAGCTTTCTACAACGCGCAGTTTTAAACTCGTTTATCTTAATAACAACAAATACTACCAATTTGAAATTTTTGCCACTGTATTCTGGATGTAAAGCACTATCAGAATATTTTACAAATGCGCAAAATAGATTCGGTTGAACGACCCTATTATAGAAACATTGGTTTTCCAAATTGAAAAAAATCATAGATTTGGTATACTTGAATGAGACTGATAGCTTCATTGAATCTCGAAGTCTCCTTAATTCATTTCAACATGTTTTTTGTCTCTACGAATTCTGGTATCACTAGTTAGCTAGTGTGCATGATGCCCTGAAATGGGACTATTTACTCTTTTTTGATCAGAGTAAAGCATTTTACAGAGTCAATCACAATCTCATTTTTGAGAAACTTCATCACATTGGTGTCTGTAGGACACTACTGAAATGGTGAAAACAGATTTTACCGCAAAGATCGCTGTTGTACTCATAATTATTTTTCTCAGCTGAAGAATACAAATTTAATAGATGTGTTGGTGGTATCAGTTTCAATTACATAAAAATATTGGGAAAATCAAGAGTTTTTGAATAACTGAAGAACCAAAAAAACATTCGATATAAAGAATCTCAGTATGAGTTATGATTTCCAAGTTACGGGCAGCTGAAGAATACAAATTCAATAGCTGTGTTGGTGGTATCAGTTTCAATTAAAAAAAAATATTGGGGAAATCAAGAGTTTATGATAACTGAAGAACCAAAAAAACATTCGATATAAAGAATCTCAGGATTAGTTAATGATTTCTAAGTTACAAATTTTGTGAATCACTAAGACAATGGTTCGTAGAAGTCTGATCTTTATGATATGGTAAAGTTCCGGCAACACCGCACACCTAGAAAGACGAACTTTCACCAAGTTTTCTCTGCAACTACTCTCCTCTTCAGCTTGTTGTTTTAACTGCACATTTTTCATTCTACAAATACTTGATCAGATTTTTTAAACTAAACTGGTTTAATGAAAGGTGAAAAGTGTAAAAATAGTTTTAATAGTTTGTCTCAATGAAAAATCTGGCACTTTATTGATGGTAGGTCCTCCAAACTTGACAAGATATTTTTATGTTAGAAATGTTCTTCAGAAATAATTTTCAGGTACTGTTACAAGTTTCGGCTATATCTATTCAAATAATATATGGTGAATTGGAGGTATCTTTAATGATACGTAATCAAGTGATTTTGAACAAATTGCTCTCTTTAGGTTTATTTCATTTCATCGTTTTGATGGTTTAGAAGTAGACTTAGATGGACGGACACACTTTCTTACCCTAGAATTTTTGTTTTTTGATAATTCAATCAGTAACATTCTCAAATAATAACTACTGTGAATAGAAATGTATTTTTTTTTCAATAACAGAATTTAGGTAAAACATAGTTTCTGTGAACAAGGTTTCGTGGGTTGCACTTTATGCAAACTAAGATTCATAACCTATCATGCACAATATCATTGTTCAAAGATTTAATTTGATCTTTGTGACAAATAACTATGAATGAATAACCAGTTCATGTTGTCCCATTTAACTTTACTTATTTTTATACTTCAAGAAATTATGAACAGTGAAGTTAGACAAAACTTACCTAGTTCTGTGATGTGTGTTGTGTGTATTTAAGGAATTAGTTTATTCATATTGAATTATGTATTACTTTTTGAGTCCTCTATAAATGATTTCAGATTAGAACACATTTTTGATAGTTCATTTTATGATGTTATTTCAAGCTCTGCTATCTCTGATATGGATTTCCAATTAGCATTGGAACATAAATTTGATTCAACCATTCAATCTGTGTAATAAGTCTGTATCAGAAGTATGGATAAAAAATTATAGGAAAAAGATCGTTTAAATTTTTGTTTCAAATCAAGGATGTGTGTATATTGAATTGGTGAAAATTCGAGGCAGATATTTGAATAATGACAATTTTGAGAGATCTTCCAATACTGCCGTCAGAAGGTTTAAATAGCTATTGAAGTGTCTGGGAAATATATGTTTGGTCTTGGATGGTTTTAGAAATTTTAAGTTCTTTTGCGAGGTTTTGGCATTTGAATCAGATGTCAATGACATAACCCCTCAGGACGTCTTCAATCCATGAGTTTTTTTTTTTTTTTTTAAGCCATATATATTTATATATTCCGATTAGAAGCATATATTTGACAATGTTATCCAATTGCAACGCACAATCGAAACTCTATGCTGAAATTGGAGCAGTTGAATTCAAATCATCATTGATATTATGAATATTGCTTCCCAACTTCAGTTGTGGTCAATTACTCAAATATACGGAAATATACAGTTCCACTGTAATCATTTATTGGGGATGTATATTTCAGTTATCTACAAATTCGCTCAAAAATGGCAATTCAAGATATAGTTCTTGAGGTTATGCACATAATTGTGTATATGGGTCATTGGGCCCAGCCGAGATTTTCCCATCGTGAAAACCTAATAGTTTCTAAGTCGCACTGAGGCTCATTGGAGATATTGATATGGAAAACTCTGTGGAGAAATATAAATCATTTTGGTTCATTTATTATCAGTGTGTTTCCTTCTGTTCATTTTTATAATGCTTTGCACAGATTTTTTTTTCAATTTCAATATTTATTTGGACTCGTTTATTTCTCTTTATTTTTGCTTGATTATCGGGTAGTGATTCTGTGAAAGTAATGGTCTCTAGAAGCGCTTTCTCTGTTCCACTATTTCAGTCATCTGCATTTTGTCACACTCGATTGTTTTGAAATTAACTTGGTATCTAAGCGACATATATTATTTTTTCCTAATAAGTTATTCTAAACCTTCTTACACGTCAATAGGTTAATCAAAAATAGGCAGATCTACTGATGATTATATCAAAATTGTCTTCACACACACATATTTTGTGATTTTAGGTCCAATTAGGTTACGCCTCATTAATTTGCACCACTTCATGTATGTCTCTTGGAACACAATAAAATATTCATAAGGAGAGTTAAATGTCTTGGTATGATACAAAGTGACAATACAATATTTGTAGGCACATTTGTTATTCCCAGCCATCGTGCAATGAACAAAACACGACAGTAGATTTTCTCCAATCAATTGAAAAATCCTTTTTATTTCACGTTAATTAATTGACAGAAAGTAGGTATCTTATGAAAAATAGTCGTTTTAAAGCTTTGTGGCCACAAATTCTTCTGAACAGTTCATCGAGATCTTAATTTTAAACCAGTATTTATCAATTAATATTTTTTTATTTTAACATGAAACAGTTGAGGTATACTGTATACATTTATGTATTAGCAAATTGGCTGGCTCATTGAGGGGACATTATCAATAAGAAATTCAGTATAATGGCAACATATTTTCAACTATCAAAAATGGGGCAAAAAGCACAATAGTTAGGAATAAAATTTTATTCTTGTATTTTCCGACAACAAACAATATATAAACACAATGCTCAATTATGTGCTGTATTATATACTACCAGTTTTATATTCTAAAAGTATATTAACTGTTCTTTTTTATGTAAATGGTGAAGTTAAATGTGGTAGAATAGAAAATGTTCAGATCTAACCTGCTTCGAATGTAGCGCTTCATTTTTTAGCTGTGGTTATATGCTGAACCTTGTGCCTAAGATGTTTTCCTTTTAAAATATTACTAATAATGTTCCATTCTTTCGAGTAATTTTTTTTTCTAAATCTAGGGTTTTATGGTTTGTAACAACAAGCTGTGAAAAACAAAAGCTAAATTTTTTCTCACTTATATGAAATGCTTTTTCAAGTGTATATAAATTGAATCTTGGGTTAAGCGTGCGATTCATAAATCTTGAACAGTGTTTAAACATATCAAATATTGATTTGTACTCAACTTCAACATAAGACATTTTTATGAATAAATATATAAAATGTTCTAATACTCTTTTCAACTGAATTAGCAGGATTGTTTTTTTATATCCTAATTATGAAATGTTACCAAAAACATCAAGTTACAGGTTTCAGAATTTAGCTACTCTTCAATTTGCTTTTTGTACCGTGTAAAAATATGATTTTATTACTATTCACTCTCAGGTTGAAGTCAATCAGTTCATATTCAGTATTATCATAAACCTAGAGACCCTTCAACTCTACACTGATCCATGAGTTATTGGTGTATAAAAAAACATGTTTTTCACAAAAATATTTTGCATAAATAAATCCCAGAATTCATCATGAATGTCGTGTCTACAAGTAAATGCGTATAGTGCCGCTCTAACATTTCAATACCACTTTTGTATAACGATTTATCTCTTGCCTCAGTTTCAGCAATAACCTCTTCGTTCAAGCGACATTTTTTACCGGTGAGCATTTTTTTGAGGTCTGTGAAGAGCCAGTAGTCGCTGGGACCAAATCTGGGGAATATGGTGGATGTAGGAGCAATTCGAAGTTCAATTCATATAGTTTTGCCACTGTTTTGATTGACTTGTGACACGGTGCATTGTCTTGAACCTTAATTTTTTTTCTTTGCCATATGCGGACGTTTCTTTGCAATTTCGGCCTTCAAACCTCCAATAACGCTATATAATATTCACTGTTGATGGTATTACTCTTCTCTATTACACCAAGCACATCCCATACCGAGGCCACAACCTTTCCAGCCGATTGTTGTGCGCTTTGGATGAGGTTAACCAGTTGCTCTCCACTCAGATGACTATCGTTTTCATTCCGAAGTGAAGTGAGGAATCCATGTTTCATCCATTGTCAAATATCGACGCAACGATTCCGTTTGTTTTATTTAAGCATGGCAAACACTGCTCAAAATCATCGAGACGTTCTTGTTTTTGGTCAACAATGACCTCATGCAGCACCACTTTGAACAGAGCTTTCTCCTAGTCAAATGCCATTGCGAAATAAAGCCAACACTTTCTTTTGATATCTTTACAATGTCAGCTAACTCACGAAATTTCACTTTTTCATCATTCAAAACGATTTTGAGGATTTTTTATGTTTTCTGGCGTTACTGCCTCATTTGGACGTCCACTGTGTTCTGCATCATCGGTGTCTCTACGACCACGTTTTAATTTCGCAAACCAACATTTAATTGTTGTTTCTGATGGGGCGGAGTCCTCATAACACTTTTCAAGCCATTGCTTTACTTGAACCGTATTCAAATCACTTGATAAAGCTACTGTGCTAGCGAATCATGTGATATATTTTTCAAATAAAGTTTGTGGAGATCAAATCGTGAGGTGTAGTTTTTGTAATTACTATGGATCTTCATCAAGTAACGGTCGAATCAATCAGAAAAAAAAATGAACCGTATTTTTCCCCATCAAGAAGCAGTGTAAATTAAAACACGAAATTGTTTGTGATCCATTGTTTTGAAAATAAGAAAAGTAGTGTCGCTTTTAGCATAATAACTCATTAACTTATGAGTAGAATATCATGAAATTTCAACAGCTTTCTTTTGAAAGTTAGTACTAACTGGAAAAGCGGTGAAAGCAATAAGACTGGCGCCATCTATGTGTTAGGCCCGAGATTTTTCAGTCCAGGTAGTATAGCTCCAGTAAATCTTAAATGATTTTTTTACTAATAAAAGTACAAAGATGAAGAAGTTAAAAAATGTGCAATAACATTACTGACTCCAAATTAAGCGTCTCTGAAGATAGCAATCGGACTTCTATATCGTAGCATCAATCTTATCATAGCAACATGTCAGTATTCATTATATATTTCCTATCATATTCCACACAGAGACGGATCGGCTCGTGCTGTCTCTCGACAGACCAAATTGCTTCATGGGATGATTCAGACGACAGTGACCTGTAAGTAGGCCTGTTAGATATCTAGGTCATCTCTGCTGTTATCTAACAACTGTTTGGTAACATACTTCGAAATATGTATACCTAAATCGCTTGGTGTGGATCAATCCTGCTGCTAGATATTGCCACAGATCTGAAACTTTTGTCCAAATATTCAGTATTTGTATGGCAAAACCAAAGTGATGCCAATGGCAGAACCTGGTTCGATGAAGCCACTTGCAGTGCTCTCCTTTGCAGGGGAGTCAGCAGTTTCAGTATCTTCCAGGCCAGTGTGGCCAAGAATTCAAATCAGAACCAATTTGTTAACTCTTTATAATACGGAGGTTTTTTTGTTGGTTTAATACCAACTTGAACACGTTACTCGGTGAGATATTTTCATTAATTTATATGTGAAGTTGTTTTCCGCCAATTTCTCCATAAATCGATGGCGTAGATTGCCGCTTAACATATGGTGGCATATGTCCCAAAGCAGATTGATATATCTGCTTCTGTGCCTGTGACTGTATACACTTGCAATAGAAACTGAACGTTTTTTCAGTCCATCAGTTAACCAACAGCTATCTACTTTTAGTATTTTCTTTTCCCAGATAGAAATTCTAGTCCTCTCTACTCGCGATTAGGACTGTATAATATGTCAGTTCGAAATTGACTGTTAGAGGCGTTGAGTCGGAAGGCATTCTCAGAATGCTGTGACTTGGCTCTGCACATAAACCTGTTTGGAGCAATTGGGAATAAACCAAAGTGCTCAAAGAGTGGAAGAGACAGCAGATAAACCTGGTTGATTCAGAATCATTCAATTTTAGGGGTTTGCGCCTACTGTTTAAAACTTACTTAATGAATCTGTTGTCTTGTATATTGAACGTGCGTGCAGTTTTGCTCAACTCGCAGGCAAATCGCTCCATACAGTCATCACCATCAATTGCTTTCAAGGCAAGTCGGGCGAAATCCTCCACATTTTCATTCCGTTTTGCCCAAATCCCCTTTTTACTTGGTTTGGATCCTAATTTAGGAAGTACTATCATGGAAAGAACAAACATCACCGCCATACCAATAAATCCAGATATTGCCATAAATAGTGGTTCCAAAGTTTTCGGTTTCTTGTCCTCCATCATTTCTTTATTTATTGTTATATTGTGCTGAAAAAGTATTTGATTGTCAAAATTGCTCAAAAAATCTATTTTAATAATTGTACCTGATGGTGATGCGAATGGAACTGGTATTGAGGTCTCTGTGTGGTTGTTAATTTTGGCCTTTTATGTTTGTAAGAAGTATATTCTGCCATCTGCAAAAACAACTGACATTACTTAGGTGCAACATCTATTACCGTGGATCTGTTGAAAAAGTTTTCATCTAAATTAAATACACTCTTCAAAAATGAGGGAAACTAAACTGCTAATAAAAATAATGAGAAAAAAAGTACAATTGAATACAGGATCGACGCGACGGCGAGGTGGGATATGGGGGGTCTTCGACTCTCCCAATAATTGGCAAATGACTGAAGGTTGGGACTTTGTTTGTAAAAGAACGCAATTTGGGAAAATTATAGCTGTGTATGAAATGTCAGGAGAAACACAAAACGAAAGATAATCAAATACGATTAGAATTTTCCAACTTGTTAAACTCTAGAATATTTTACTATTCAAAAGGAGTGGTCATTCATGGAGGACTGTAGGCAATGCGTAGAGGAGCGGTGATGGAGAGGGGGGGGGGCAGTGTAACCATCTCAAAATTCATAAAATCTCATAATCTCCAAATGAGTTGTGTATTTTTCCTTCCCCTTTCTTAGAATTAGGTGAATTTCCTTCAAGATTTGACTATATTAGGTATAGTTTTCTGGACAGTGAAGATTCTATTAAATTACTATCATAACCATTGTTGATCGCAATCTGTTTAATTTTATTCGCCTGTTTTTATTAGTGATATGATAATAATATCCGCTCGGTGGTTGAATCTAGCTGATGTTTTTAGCGTATACTTATGATTTAGGAGTTATTCATCAGTCCTGCTTGAAAAAGCTATTGCATAGTGAAACACGCGTCGCGGTTTTGTAAACCTTCCTTAGTGAAAATCACAGTAAACCGTATTAGTAGATTCACACAATCAGGTATATATTTACTTCAACAAAAACCCAACCTTATCATCGAAGTGAATTAATTTACAAAATAATCCCACCCGCAGCTTCATTAAACTTACATTACTGCTAGCTTGAGAGGTCATCTCATCAATGAAACTCTTGATGGGATAATAGTAGTAATAATAACCAGATGCATCTTCATTTTTTGAGATATCACTATCTTGAACTGAATTATGTGAGTGAAATGGGGAACTCTCACTACCGTCAAGTTCATGAACAGCTGTATGAATTAACGTATCATCGCCTCCGTCTAATTGTAAAGTCTCGCCTTTTGATATAGCAGATTCATAAAGGGCAGCAAGCTCTCCTTTCGTCAGACTAAGAGGTGGTACCTGAAAATATATAAAAGCATATTTATTTGGTATTTTGTTTTTCCTACGGCTGATTTGGAGCGAAAATACCTCACATAATCAAAAATCATAATATATACATTAATATTGTTTCAAAAACGAATAACTACCTCTGAATAGTATCTTAATAGTATATAGGAACTGTCGAATATTTACTAACGATTTTTAATTTAATGTTGAAAATTTAACTTTGCCTTGTTTCAACGTGAATTTTACAATATATATGAAACTTTTCGTACCATCTTTTTTTACAGATTTGCAGATTTTTACACAAAAAAAATCTGCAAAAACTCCTCTCGAGAGACAGTTGCTGTTTGAACAACCTTGTATATACGACTTTTGAACTTTTATAGAATTGTTGAAGTTCAGCGGATAATGATACATGCGTATATTATTCATGGCGTTAACTGACGTGAAGATCCTTTGATACTTTTTTGGATACTCTCCGGAATGTTATGGAATCAATGGCTGACTCCGCAATACTGGAACTAAGTCACTGACCATCAAAAAGTTTTTTTCTATGCCTGGTGCTTCCAAATCATTTTCATTTTTGGTGATACAAATGGGTTATTTATTTTTGCCTTTTTTGCTGGGATGTCACTTTTGGTGGATTTTTGAAATTGGGTCTTAATTTTATAAACGTTCGACTGATTCCAAAGCAAACTTTTTCAATTTCAGTAATTTTTATAAGATTAGAACTACAAATTAGCCACTTGTTTTTCAAAATTTCCACTACATGTATTTAGGAATGAAAACAACTACTCTATGGCTGCCCTTTTTCAATAATTCAATCAACGGAGGGCACTATTTTTTCTAAATTATCAGTTGATGGTTTTCTGTATATTATTGGGGAATGGAGTGTAACCCAAGTTTTCTCCCTTATCAATAAAAGACAGTTTCTCACATTTTCGCTTATAACATTCAAAAGGTGTATCATAGCCCAATATGATTGCAAATCCAGACTTGTCCAGGACAAAATTTTCTATGAAAATGATTTAATATCCAGACTTGTAGAGGACAAAATTTTCTAGCAATAGATCATCAAAGATGGAGTAAAATAGCGATTTCATCAAAATCATTTTTCCTTCTATTTAGATCGTTTGAATTCCATGAATAACTGGTTATAGTGGTATTTTCTTTAAAGTTGCGGTGGTGTGACTCACCTTCTACGTCTCAAAAATGTTTCGAAGGCTGTCGGTGAAATTGTAAATAAGTGACCTACTGAATCGGTTGCCTTTTGGTTTTTACATTTTGAGGAACTATGGCTCACTGGACTGTATATCCCTCATCTACTGGAGTTATCAACTCCACTTCAACAACATTTCTGGTTTTTTACTTTCGAAAAAACTGTAAATTAAATCAACAAATATGAGCCATAATTTAAGAATATTGTTAACTATCAATTTTCCAACTGTAGGAATAACAATAAAAAATTTGAAGGCTCAAGTGCAGCAAGGCGAAACAATGGCAAAGCAGATGGTAGCTATTTTCTGTTCTGCATATGGTCGATGCTATTATAATTGAGTATTCCGTTTCCTAATCAACTTTCAATATTTATAAACATCTCAGTTGTTAGTGGTTGATTTGATCCATTTATAATTGTAATGTTTTTGCACTGAATATTTCAGTTATCAATTAATATCGCTATCATTTTGCATTTTTATTGTTTTCTACATATCCTGAATAGGCTTCCTCACGTCTCACAGAGATTATGGTAAAATATGAAATATCAAAATGGCAAAAAAGAATAAACAGAAAAATTCTGCCACCTCAAGTAATGCATTGAATTATGTTTTTTTTTTCATAACTTATTTGTTATCTATATACTATTTTTCGTATTCCACTTACAATGTAGAAAAATTAGTCATAAAAAAAAATTCCCCATATTTTAGATACACCTACCTCAGTACCGTGTTGTATCCTCCTTTCAACGGGAGTCTGAATTAGATCTTCTTCATCTGATATTGACGAAGCAGAAACCATAGCGGTATCCGCTCTTACCAAAGTTTGCCGCGAATTCAATTTTCGTAAATCTCTCACAGCACTTCGAAGGTAGTGTGCTCCTTCTTGACAACGCACACTAGCAATTGCCAATAGAAGTAGAGTTATTCGAGGCATACTGAAAAATTACAATAAAAAGGTTTAGGTATTCCAAGACGTAACGGCATTTGAAGACGCTCAAAGCTTTAGGTATTTGAGAGCGAAAACACTTTTCACAATGTAAAGCTGGTTTTTATAAATGATTACTATGTTCATTGGCCGCGTGGAATTGGCCGTTGTGGAATTGGCCACGGAGGTTCGATTCCCGCCTCGACCAGATATTTTTCTCGAGAGAATGTATTTGGTTGAAGCTGGGATGATTCTGCAACCGTGTTAGTAATCACACGTTAATAAGTAAGACCTCTTATTCCTTAGCTTGCACAAGTTTATCAACTTCTGAGAGAACTGTCGTTCGTATGGGGGCGACAGCTGATTAACGAAAAACAGATTTTCATGACGAATAACCGAAATACGCGAAGGGATTCAAAATCCAATAAATGCCAAAATAATGCAAGCAGTTTCATCGAACCAAAACTTGTCATTGGATCGCATAAGGCTTTGCCAAACAAACACTGAATTCCTGATCTGCTAAAACGTTTCACACTTCTCGCAAAATCTACCAGGACAATTGTTGGATTACAGCATGGATGGTCTACGTACTCAACAGGTCACTTTTTTCTGAATCATGATAAATATGAGACTTGGACCACAGTAGAATAATACAACCAGCAGGCTATTTTACCACGTGATCCGCCCGAGTTGCCGGGAACTTTCAACCGCTCTCAGGATGACATTCTCATCCAACGCGTTCAGTGATGTAGTATCGAAGGATTCGACGGACCCACGGGCATCGGATTAGTTATAATAAACGGTCGGAAATTGATATTGTGTTTAGTTTATTCACTGTTGTTTTTATGGTTTTTTAGTTTTTGTAGTTGGTTATAAGTAACTTAAATCTTCTATAATATCCCTAAATTTCGTTTTTATATGAGCGCATGCCTATGGTAAAAGAACGAAATTGGCTCCGCACTCGTTTATTTTATAGTCAATGTTCAAGACAAAAACGTATGTGATTTTCTGGAACTTCAACTAGCGTTTCCTGATATGATTGATAACCATTCCGTGCAAAGCTAATTGTTAAATTATCTGAAAATTGAACTTTTAACGGGTGATGATCAACTGTATTGCCAAACATGCGCCAAACTAACTGACTATTATCAGAAAACAAGTTTAGCCGAACCAGTCAATCTAATAATAACACTGATGATCTTCAAACATGACTCAACCGCTGACGAAGCACCAAACTCTTACGAAGGTTCGAAATAGATGAACACTCCAATCTAGCAGACCACTATTGTAATCTTCATGCAGTCATTGTTCACTGTAGTTCTGGAGTTGTATCCAGTCATTATTACGCAATGGTCAAAGACGAAACGAACAGGTTTAAGTTTGACAATATTCCTGTCACTAAGTGTTCTGGCGATGTCTTGATGTTCTTGAAATCGGTAATATTGTTGATTTTTTCATAAAATTTATTTCTTTCAATATATTCTTACAATGAGATAATTGTTGAATTTCCCTACTATTATTATACTACTTTTATCAACTGTTTAAAAAAATGTATTTCACCACAGGATGTCTAAACCTAGATGATGGAAACACAGCTTTGTTTTTCCTCGTATGATGTGTACCATACCAAAATAATATTCATCCGTTTTATCTATCTGCATCGTGATATCTCTAATAATTGACTGATATCGACATGCCTGAAGACTGAAAAAGAGTTACTAAAATCAAAATTATTCAAAGCATAAATTTTGTTCGCTGCCAGAAGTATGATCAAAAGATGACTCAGCAGTTAATTTTTTGCTTACTTCAGATGATCTTAAAACTACTGAACGTCTTGTAGACTTCACAGAGGAACCTTGAAATCCATGAGTTCCGGAATGTTTAACAAGCAATATTGTTGTTTATAACCTTTTTGGGATATATTCCGTCTAGTACAGAGGGGTAATATTTTGAAATGCTACTTTGAATTTTTCAATTTTTGAGTATCTAACTTATTTTGTAATTTTCCGATATTTTTCAAATGCGTTTGCGGTAAAGACTTCCAAATGAGCGAACCCAATTCTAATCTAACCTATGTGAAATATCTATATTTTATTCTGAATATATTTTAAAAAAATGAATGTATCTTAATAAATACCATCATTGTGTTGGCTCTTCAACGTTTTTTGTTGTAATGCTGCCGAAATTGAAAAGAGTTGTCATAAATAATTTGTTTTTCCGTTAACCAGCTGTCGCCCACCTACGAACGACAACCCTCAAAAGTAAAAATTTGTGCGAGCTAAGGATTAACGAGGTATTACCTTTTAACGTGCAATTTCTATTGCGATAAGCAGTGGATGTCTTTTTTGAAGTGCAAGATTGACTGTTTAATTTTTTTTATCATTTGAAATCGTTTGCTAAAAGTGGTCATTGATAAATGAAACAAATAAAAAAGACCTTAAATTTAACAACGGTGGATCACGGATTGATTTCATATGAGTCAGAGAGACACCTGTTGAATTTCACCACAAAGTTGCCATTCTGGGTGTAATTGTTTATTATACCATGATGTGCCATGGCAAATTTCTTGAAATTTATGAAATCTCAACTACAACTGATGTGATTTATGAGTACCTTTATATTTTGTTAGCACAGTAGAACGGCGATATGTCACTCTCTTGTCCATGTATATACTCGTATGAATCCGTATTGTGTATGATAAATAGAGCATACTGAGCTTAGTCAATTATATATTAGCATCATATTATTAAAGTAATTCCACGATTGCTCAGGTATGAAAAACTAGGAAATTGGATATTTTGTCGAATGAAATAGATGATAGAATATAAAAATTATTTTGACAGGTAGTAGTAGCAGTATTCTATATTACTACAGCTTATTATTTGAAACGATTGGGCGAAGTTTTTCAACAAGTTGATGAAAAGTAGTCCTTATGAGGATAGTATGATACTCAGTCGGAATATCATTCTATATATCGAATATATTCAAGTGGAAAAATCGAGCTATATAACTATATTATGGGTTTCATCATTATGATCGATGCCATTGGAGACATTATTTCTCAAAAATACTTGACCAGTATCATGGTGACTGTTGAAGGGTAGCAAATATTTGTCTGAAGCCAATTTTTGTAGGGCACGTTATGAAGAAATAACATTACTTTCAATTTTACAGCCATATCACTACATATTATCAAACAACGGCCCCCACCGCGTCTGTCTGAGTGTCTGTTTCTGAACGTGATAAACTCAAAAACGGAATGTTTTGTGTGTATTTGAAGTGTGACGATTCTATCCGGACGAAGTCGGATGAAAATGCGATTATTCATTCTGGGATTTTGTGGAATGCTCTCAAGCATTCTCGAATATTCTAGAAATGTCTAGAGTCCTTATACCTCAAAAACCAAGCCTTTTAGTTTAGGAGGATATACGACTACCACAACATATAAGTGCCTCAATCGTTCTACAATGACCTGGGATGTTCCGAGATGTCCTCGAACTTTCCAGATTATTCCCAAACATTCCACTATAATATTTAAATAGATTTACTAAAAAAATTTGGGGTATCTTGGTTTGAATTTAGGGGGTTTTAAAATAGGCTTAGGGGAAAAGATTTTGAGCAGTTGGCATGACCTCTTCTTCCTTTCTGTGGTATTCAAGATGTCTCACGGAGTGATACGTTAAATGCCTGAAACTATTTTTGAATACGAGTACAATATTGATCGTATTACGGCGGACAAGAATACATACTGGGTGCCAATTTGAAAATTTCCTACTCTTAATATTTTCCTCAAATCACTGTGAATAAAGCTACTGTGTAGCGAAACATGTCGTGATATATTTTTCAAATTAAGTTTGGAGATCAAATCGTTAGGTGTAGTTTATGAAATTACTATGGATCTTCATCAAGTAACGGCCGGAATCAATCAGAAAATTGGATATTTTGTTCTCATGTTCGAATTTGTGCTGTGTTTCGTAGCGTATTCGAAATAGCAATTTTCTTCCCTTGTGAGTTGATAATCTTGGCAATAGCTCTTGTAAAATACTGTAGTTATACGAAACAAGCCCCTTGTGTACCTGCATATACGAGTGTTTGGATCAGTTCAACACACTTGCCATTTCCATGAGTCTTTCTCTTGCCTTTGTTAAAGCGATGGACATTTTGTATAGGTAGTTTGAAAACGAGGAGAGGGAATTATAATACTTGTTTATAAGAATCTCCTCAAAATAGATCAGATCAGAGCTATCTCTCTGATATTTATTCTGTGTTATGAAAATATATTTCGATAAAGTGGATCAACATCAGAATGAACTCCATGAATATATCGAAGTCGAAATGAACGAGATATGTGAGTGTATAGAATAGAGATGTATGTAATTGATGTGAGTGCAAGTTCTCTTCAAGAGTATTCACATTTTTCTGGATGTTCAGTATTAAATTTGTAATTAAAATTTCATAAGAACCTGTCGAGATAAAGACCAAATTTTTTTATTGAGAAAAAAGAATCTAGAAGTAATTCTATGAAGATCATAATGAGACTTGATATGGAATTTCTCCCAATTCAAAAGTGAATGATTCGATAAAGAATAACTTAATCTAACACAATCATTCAGTTGGAATGAAAATACGTAAATTTATCCAAAAATAAGCCCAAAACCTGAGCATTCATAATGACATAACGGTATCATTATGGTAATGATGGAGTCTGTCCCATCTACAAGTGCGAGTTTGCATGCAGATTAACTACAAACATAATATCTATCAATGACATGCATTCAATGAACTCGACCTACCTCCTTTTGAACAGACGAAATCATCATCTCACATATTTTAGGTAATGCATTGAGAGTGGGTCAGCTATTGTAGAGATTTATGAATTATTGACTAACGAATTGATGAATCGAATATATCAGAAATCAATTTTTCATTACCTATTTCTGTCCTATAGCATTTGCATAAATGCTACTCAATTCGTCGAAATTGATTTAGGTAAACACAAAAAATATAGGAATGTTGTTTTGACATGCAGACAATTTCAATGAGATCATCAACATCAAATTACCATTCAATATCGAAATATGGTAAATAGGCGAATGGAAAGTGTATTTATTGTCTATCAAAATTCTCCATGTTACGAAAGGTATTTATGATTTTTTGAATTGATATGGTATCTAGTGCCTTCCATATTTCAAATTTGAATAAGAAATGTCCTCATCATTATTGACAAATGATTCATACATTTTTCAAATATCCCGCAACGTAATAATTCATCAATGTTAGATGATGACTCCTAAATAGCTAGGAAATTGATCCAAACCTTCCAACTAATCAACAATTAGAGAAAATAAAGTCCTGGCTGGTAGGCCGAGGTCATATAGAACTTTAAATACGTTTCCTCTGTTACTGCGGCACATCATCAGTGTTATATGCGTTGAATGGGACTAAGGAGCTCCCGAGCTCCACGTTCAATCATATTTATACCAGTAGGGAATGGTGGGGAAATGGTGTGGTGGGAGTGGAGTGTCCATGATATTGCTCACTTCTGATTGGTTCACATTCGTGCTAGGTTATTCTAATTGGTCCACGTTTTTATAGGTCTGCCGCTGGTGTGGTGAAGTTGTTTCCAGTCCATGTCTGGCTTGCATAAGTACTGGATACCACATTCTGTTGACTCATTTACCTTCTTGTTTTCTATTGTAATTGTTCGTATGCTTCCCTGTCCAGTCGTGTGTAGTAGTGCCTCATATCAGAGAGGACAGATTTTTTTTGACTTCAATAAACTGTTAACATTTTTTGTCCAGATTCAAAACTCTTTCCACCCACCTCTGATCATACATCTTGAATCAACACAAGCTTATTGTGTTTCAACAAAACAGGTTATTACTAATTACAAAAATAATAAAAGAGTATCACGAATACAGAGAAAATAATACAGATACATCCAACTCAAACGAAGAAATATTAAGGGTACCTTCAAAATGTCAGAACTTCGAGTCCCACGATGGAAAATAGAATATAAAATATACTGTTTTTACAGAATTGTTACATAATTATTATGAATATAATTCCCCGCTGCATCTGTCTGTCTGAAGGCGATATGAGAGTGGAAAGTATTAGTTGGAATAAAAGGATACAAAAAAAAGTTCGAATAATCCACAATGTTTTAGAACATTCCATATTCTAGAACGTTCAAGGCTATTTACGAACATTCCACAATATTCCAGAATAATCCGGTATGTTCCGAAATGTTGTGGAATACTTTCAAATATTCTCGAATACCTTGAATTGTTCTAGAACATTCCAGAAGGTGAAACTTCCACCACTTACATCTTTAAAAGCACGCCTTTCAGGTGAAAACTAGAAGTTTTTTCATGAATGAGGAATAGATGGCTACCACAATAGATCTGGGATGTTTCAGGATGTTCTTGAAGGTTTCAGAATATCCCTGTGCATTCCACCACATTCCAGAATATTCCAGGATGTTCTGGAATGTTGTGGAATACTCTCGAATACTCCCGATTATTTTGGACTGCTCCAGTACTTTCCAGAAGGTGAAAATTGTAGCCCTCATATTTTCAAGAGCACACCTTTCAGTTAAAAATGGGAACCACAGTGATCTGGGATGTTTTATGAGTCTTTTGAATATTCTGTTTCAAAATACTTTTCAACAACTCCCCATCTTTGAAAAGTCATTAATTTTGAAACTACTTCTTTTATTCCCCTCAATATTACTTTTCCAAAATTGAATGGAACTGATCGATACTTGATGAAAATCCATATCAAAACTATATAAAGGAAAGGAGTATATCATATTAGTGAGTGTTTTCGGTAATTCAGTAATGTATTCATTAAATAAAGTGGTGTCAGGTCACTGTTGCCGAATTGTGAAGTGCTTTGACAACAGAAAGAAGGAAAAAATCAAAAAGAATAGAAAAAATAAATAAAAACATAAA